TTTTATAGCCTAAATATACGGCTGGTTTATTTCAAAGAGTAGTGAAATTGATTTTATTCTGGGAGACGTCTTTAGGAAGTTAAACTTTTGACAAATTCTTGAAATGTATGCGTTGAAAATCTTATGAGATATGAAGAGCATCTTTTGCAGCCTCTCTGTGGGACTGATCCAATGCTTGTTCTGGAGTACTCAATGCTTGTTCTTGAAAGCTGTCCAACTCAAACCATTGAGCTTTTTCTATCTGGAAATGTTCCAGCAGACTTGGTGAATTCTTATTTGAAGCAGCATGCTCCAAATATGCAGGGCAGATATTTGGAACTTATGCTAGCACTGAATGAAAATGGAATCTCGGGAAACCTGCAAAATGAAATGGTAATGAACTCTTGGATATTAATGGTTTATCATCTTGAAGTAACTCTAGTCTTTGAGAGCTGCCAAACTTGCAAAGTAGACATACTGGATTTTTGTGGTTGCAAAAGTTTGATTACTGCTGCTATCATAACCTGTCGTTTTAATTTGTACTCCAGGTGCAAATTTATCTTTTGGAAGTACTTGAATGGCATGGTGAGTTAAGTGCTCAACAGAAATGGGATGAGAAAGCTTATTCCCCAACAAGGAAAAAACTCCTGTCTGCTTTAGAGAGTATCTCTGGATATAACCCTGAGGCTCTGTTGAAACATCTTCCAGCAGATGCACTGTTTGAAGAGCGGGCAATTCTGTTGGGAAAAATGAACCAACATGAACTTGCCTTGTCTATATATGTTCACAAGGTAAATATATATTTTATAAATCAACATAATTCCTCTTTATTCAGTCAATCAGCTAAAGTGAACCAAGATTAGCTTGGCTGTCTGTGTTCATAAGGTACTTTATATCATAGAAAAGATAGTTTCCTCTTTGTGTAATCAGTTGCCTGGCTATGTATAGTGTTAACTGTTACATACTTTCTCTGACCAGTACCTACCAGTAAATATCTTCTGTAGCCAAAATCCAAATTTAATCCGCAACAGTATGCATAGAATTGGGATATCTGTCCCATGATGAGTTTATCCCTTTTTCCTCCTGTCCCAGTGAAATTAATGGCGTGTCTTCCTCTCAGAAGGAATGGTGCTGCTCGAGTACTTCAAACATATTTCCTGCACCTACACTTTCAAAAACTAATACCTCGGTGCAAAGTGCAAACTTCAGTTTATCTTTCAATGTTTGTTTATGTTTTTCTTTTCTAAATTATTCAGTGTATATTCTCCAAATTATTCAATGTATATTCTCTAATTAAATGCTCTTTGATTTTTTAGCTTCATCTACCTGAACTAGCACTTGCATATTGTGATCGGGTATATGAATCGATAGCTCATCAGCCATCTGTAAATTTTCTGGCAACATATACCTTACTCTTTTGCAAATCTATCTGAATCCTAAGAAGACAACCAAGAACTTTGAAAAGCGGATTACAAATCTGGTATCATCTCAAAGTACAAGTAGCCAAAAAAGTATCTCAGGATCCGCATTTAGAGGTAAAGGAGGTCGTTCATCCAGGAAAATTGCTGCAATAGAGGGTGCAGAAGACATGCGAATCAGCCACAGTAGCACTGATAGTAGCAGGAGTGATGGTGATGCTGAAGAATCAAGTGAGGAAGGAAGCTCTACTTTTATGTTAGATGAAGTACTTGATCTGTTGAGCCGAAGGTGGGATAAAATCAATGGAGCTCAGGCTCTCAAGCTCTTACCTAGAGAAACTAAATTACAGGTAGTGTTCATGCTGAGATTTAAACAAGCATTATGCTTAGGTTATCAAAAAGGGTTTGATGAGCTTTCCCATGTCTAGATCACCAGCCAGCTCTTCATATGGTCATTTAGGTTCTTTAATCTAGGTCTTTCTTTTTTGTTTGTTTTTCTATAGGATTTAAGTTAAGAACTTTCTTTTATTCTGTCTTCAAATTTTTGTTGTTTGAGGTTAGTTTCCTGTTTTATTCTTCACCTTTATGCTCTTCCCTGAAAGTATGTGGGTTTTTTTATCATAACCTGCAGAACTTGCTTCCATTTCTTGGACCTCTTTTGAGAAAATCCAGTGAAGCATACAGGAATCTCTCAGTGATCAAGAGTTTGAGGCATAGTGAAAATCTGCAGGTATGTATTAATTTTTGAGTTTGAGTTGACAAGTTGAGATGATACATATCTTGCCTAGAATAACTTCGGTATCAAATAACTGATCTGAAATGACATATTCCTAGTGTGTGGATATATTTAAATAGGAAGGAGGTGGAGTTACATGCCTATCAGGATGATCCTAGGGGCCATTGGTGAGATGTTTATTATGTCATAACAATTAGGATAGTGCATGTGTCAATTTCTAAAAGCTTTAAGGTTGTCTGTTATTATTATTGTATTCTTATTGTTGGTATTATTTTGCTAAATAAAAACTTGAAGCTTGTTATTACATCTAAAAATCTTCCAGTCTTAAGCTAAATCTCAACAGTTGGACATTGAATTGGGTCTGTGTACATTGTTCTAACTTATATTAGGTTCAAAGGTTTTCTTGTCACAAATTTTCCTTTACCAAACAGGTGAAAGATGAACTCTATAACCAAAGGAAGTTGGTGGTGAAGATAAGCAGCGATAGTATGTGCTCTCTTTGTAACAAGAAAATAGGGACAAGTGTGTTTGCTGTCTATCCCAATGGCAAAACACTGGTTCACTTTGTTTGCTTCAGAGTTCCCAAAGCATGAAAGCTGTGGGTAAAGGTAGAGTTGGTAAAAGTTCACCGCTGATGAAGCTACGATCTTGACCAGTCAACCACGCATATGACCCAGTGCAATGAAGGCAGTCTCTCCAAGTCTATACCTGAGTTTATAAGTGGACGAGTCCACTCTTAACGCCACAATTTGCTCTCTATTACTATTAATACTGTTCAAAACCTATAATGCAGTGGGATGGACTTCAAGGGCTTTCTCTTTCTACTTGTACAGTTTGAATGCTTTTTGGAGATCTTCTGTTTA